TTTTAGTTCTGATGAAGCTAACCCTCGGGCTCAGGTTCTCCACCTTTATGGAGGGCATGGACCCATTTGTATTATGTACTATATTCAACAGTGACAGCAGCTCACATCCATCTTAGCAGCCTTGGCCAACTGTCAGGAGCTCAGTTCATCATTGGATGAGCTCCAGCCTCCACCTCACCCTGTCCAACAACTGTCTTTGTCATAGTAAATATATAAGGCGAGGTAAGGGTTTACTAAAGCTTAATTTGCGTCTAATAACGGGAGACGTTATGGGAGAGCAGGTGGCCCAGTCTAAAATTAGCCTTATAGCTACTGCCTGATTATCCATTCACTAAATTTAGGAGGCAATAAATGATGCCTCATTGTCGTCATCTTTATCAGAATTATGTGTTAGGCGTTTCAGCTTTGTGGCTCTAATTTTCCCTTTTCTGGCAAGAAGCCATTCCCTCACATGCCTCATGTCTGAAGGCTCGGCGCTGAGGTCAAAGGCTTACGGGTTCAGCTAATCAGCTCAGGATTTTATACGCGTAATCGGAGTTGGCTGCAAACACCGAGTGGATCACAGGCAAATGAAGAGGCAGATTAGACTCTGTGTGTGAGAGAGTGTTACTGTCTCTGTTTGTGTATATATCTGTATCGATGTAACTACACATGTACACTGGATTTCTGTGCACATACTGTATTGATTACGTGTGGCATATGTATACGTGTGTGTAGTTTGAGCCTGTTGTGTCGTCAGGGAGCAGATGTCCTCCGACTCTCCTGATAAAGTGAGGACGGCGATAGGCAGACGTTCAGTTCTGGCTCCTTCGTCCCTCCATCTGTCTCAATGTGAGCCAGGAGGAACTGGATCTTTCTATTCCCCTCACACCATGGCTAAAAGGGGACCTCTTAATTGCCTTCCTTTGCTATGCAGGAAGATGATGATAAACCACTTCAAGTAGCACGATGACAGAAAGATTTATTTTCATTAAGATGATAACATGACTGAGCATCTGTTGTTATATTTGGGAGCCAGATTCTAATTTTAGTCCCTTATAAATGACTTACAATCATATATCATACATGCAACACGACATTGCAATCCTATAAATACATTCATTTTCTAACTCCTGACCCTGATAGCATTGATACAAATCCTCTAAAATTGTTTCAAATCCTGTAGTAATCCTCCAAAATGTTCAGACTCACTTAGATAATCAGATTTTGTTCTATCACTTTTGGACTTAGATTACCTCTTAATCCATCAAATATACAATTACCTGAGCTGTATATAGTAATTTAAACATTTGCTTTCATCTTCACTTATCCACATTCATGATTTTCAAGAAATGTATATTATTTCATCATATAAAATTCATTATGTGGACGTCTGTTTTTGTTTGTTTGTGTATCTTCATAAGGAACTCAATGAGTAGTTTTTGTATTTTTAACTTTGTTATGGTCTGAAATGATCTTTTCATCATCATATGTTTATCATCAAGTCATCACATCATAATCAGATCAGCGTAATGCCTGTGTAACCCTGCTAAAACAAGATGATGATACTGTTTGACCTCCGGTAACACAATGACCTACAGGCTTACTGAGTTTCTCTCCCATTCAGGTGATAACTGTTGTTGTTGAAATGACATGGGATGTGCATGTAGTGATTTTTTCATCACTGCTGAGGAATTTCTACGTTATCAGGACAATAATTATCCCCACAGTTTACTCAAGTTATGTGTGCAACCAGAGATTTCAGTCACTGCTCGGGAAGAGAGTCAAACAACAGTGTGAGGCTCTGTGAGCCTTAGCAGTGCCATGAGCTAAATGCTAATGTCGGCATGCTGCACGCTCACAATAACAGTGCTAAGATGCTGATTTATAGCAATAATGTTTATCATATTCACCATCGGAAACTCAAGAGGAAAGTTAAGGGATCATTGAAGTTATTATAATTCATCTTAGCGTCAGTTTGTTTAGGAGCTGAACTTGCTGCGATAATTATCTCGATATTTTAACATTTTTCATCTGCTAGCACTGCAGGAAAAGTCAGGACATCTCCAAAGTCAGTAGGATTCGTCCGGATTCATCCTCTTGGGACCATAAATGTCTGTACAAAATGTAATCATAATCCATCTTTTTTTCTCTTTGTAATGTATGCCTGTACTGGTGGATGCGCAGTAACTCTGTTCTGGAGTGACAGTGGACAATCTGTTATTTATGACAGTTTGACATTTGATTTATGTCGTTCGGCATTTGTAATTTGGGCATGTTTTTTACACTTTTTGCTTGTTTGTGCCACTGGGTGAAATGTTTTGCTCAGTATCGCTTTGATTTTGATAGCAATTACTTCTGTTATGTAATCCTTTGTGTGTGTGTGTGTGTGTTTGTGTGGTTAATTGTTGATGACCCCTCTTCTATGAGAGAGAGAGAGAGAGAGAGCGAGGGAGAGAGAGAGAGAGAGAGAGAGAAAGAGAGAGCGAGGGAGAGACTATATAGTCTGTGCACATCCGACATGTCTCATAGTTTTTAAATCCTTTTCAACAAATAAATTGTTTATTGGACCTAATATTTGCAGTATTTAATTTTTTATGTCTATCTTACAACAATCTAAAGTTGAAGGGAATATTGACACACACAAGGTTTTTTTTTAAATATTTTGTCAGCATATTGTCTACCATAGCCTGAAAGTAGGCTGTCAGATAAGATAAAGCATCACTGGCAACAACCCTTGATTACCTTCACCAACAAGTGACCCACTTTACTCAATCTCATTCTTTGATCAATCTTTGTCTCCTGGAGGTCATTTGGCTTTTGATGTTATCTGCTGAGTTGTAACATGTGGATCCTCCTCGGCCTGCAGGTCAAAGGTGAACCGAGGGTGACGGAAGCTGGACGCAGATTTCACCACCACGCATGCACTCTACTGTGTCACCACTTGATTATCTACTATTATGACATTTATGAATTACATAACAGAAAAAGCCGAACGCATTAAATCAGTTAATATGTTACAGCTGCTTTCAATGCAGTCACAGTTTTTAAAAAACCTAGTAGTTACCAAGGGAAGGGATGTCATTATTCATTCACTTTACATTATATAAGATTAACATGAACTCAGCAGCTACATGGGAGCGCCATCAGATATGATTTGAGACAGACTCTAATATGTTTAGTCACGAGAAGCAGTTAGGAGTGGTGCTTATTCACAGCGACAACTCCTCCTTAAAACAGACAGTATTGCAACACTGAGACCTCGGACCCTACCTTAAAACACCAGATTTTCACAAACCTCTCATATTTTTAGTCAACATACCTTTGAACGGTTTTGAATTGCGTAAATACCTCAGCCCTATTTTTTCACATGAACTGGAAATTACCTTAGTTATGATGTAGATTCAACGAAAGATCACACCCGATTGATGTAATGCTCCTGTGAACTATTGAAGATGTAGTATGTGATCTTGTGCACAGTTTTGCTAAAAAGAAAACACCCCCAAAAGACCCCAAACACAAAAAACTACAATCTAAGAAGACGTTACTAGTTGGCTAATTTTGTAGAGCTCAGTTCAAGCAAGCGGTGGAGTTATTTTTCAAGCCACTGATCTTTGAACGTTAAAGCTTTCCTTTAGCAAATAAAAGGGGACAGAATGTACCAATACACAGGAACTTGAAACATGGAAGTCCCAAAAGAAAAAAGCTATCATGGCTGACTGCATCTGACAAATACATGAGCTTATAACAGGGCTGGTTTTATTTGTTGGCTTTGAATGGCATTAATACTGAGCTTGAGGTTTAATAACTGTGAGGAGAGGTAAGCCCGAAGCCTGTAGGGTTAAGACTATGGTGTTCTTAACATATTTGGGGGATTTTACAGCTTTGATTTAAGAATTGGAGGTTTATACCCCACTAAGATCAAAGCCAGGGTGGGGCTTGCATGTGTTGGGATTGAACCTAAAACCTTCCAGGAGGATCTGGAAGCTTCACTTATGGACAATTCTTCCCAGCAGACGTGTTGAAAAAGCACAGGTGTTACTAATAACATTAACAACAATGGCTCTGTTGTGTTCAGGTGTCCCAGTGTGTGACTGAGGGAAACTGAGGCAGCTAAATGGAATACAGCCATCATTAACTTTATTGTTTACACCTGTGCTTTTCCTGCTGCGCCATTATTTTGAAAATGTTCTGCTTCATCCTTGATTGTGTTCTGTTTTGTGTTGCCATTTACATGAAACTCACAGGAATGATATTTAGACCGTGAAAGTCCAGAGTGTTTTAACACAATACTAAGACTTCATGCGTGGATTGTAAAGCTGTCTTGGTAGCGTAGATATATACTAAGAAAACATTTTACAAGGTATAAATCACACTATTGAACACACTGAAATCTTTGTGTTTTTTGGGGGGATTTTGGGGATTGTAGTAACCTGGAAGGACATTATATTTAACAATTTTGTCTTTGTTTAGGCTGATTACAGTATTATTAGACTTTTTTATTAGTTTTATATTTGACTATTTCTAGATTAAAGTATTTCCCAACCAGAATTGTATTCTTGGCAGCGTGGAGAATGTTTTTAAAACAGCATTTAGACATTAAAATAAGGAATATAGATATCAAACTCACTGAATAAACGAATAAAACCTGAAATTGTTGTTATTTTAGATGCTCTCTCTCTCTCTCTCTCTATATATATATATATTATATATATATATTTCATGTCTAATCACCTCTCCATGAACCGTTATTGTAGATATTGCACCACAGAGCAATCCCCAGGATAAAAAATCTTATTGATTGAGCCTCTTCCTCCTCAGTGACTGCACTCTGAAACAGGTCAGCTTGTTAAAAAATGCTCCCGTGCTCTGCTGGAGATCTGCACAAATTTACGCATTTGTTTATTATCACACTGTTTTGCCCCCCCAGCCCCTAGAAGTGTAGCCCCGCCCACCTGTGTCTAACCCAACCAATGAGCTCACTCCTGCCTCAGAGGAGTGATCTGTATATCTAAACTCCGGGCTGCCTGTTCATTGTACTGAGTCAGCGGCCATGCGCAAATGGATCCAGAGGAGGGCTGTGCTGTGTAGGCTGTAGTCTACATAAGATCTGTGCCTGCGGGGCTGCACACTCACTGCCGACTTGGAAATCACAGGCAGCAACTGGAGGCTTCACTTTGCATTTGAATCATCTGAGAGACGCACTGATTTTTATTTTTGTTGTTGTTGTTGTTGTTTGTTTGTTTTATGAGGAAAAACATAAATCCGGGATAGTCTGACGGGTACCTTGGGATCTCTCCAGCAAACCCTCCTCCTCCTCCTCCTCCTCCTCCTCTTGCTACTGACCATCTCGGACCCCGCGGATGCAGAGAGCAGCAACGATGCGGCGGCTCTGCTGTTAACTCGTTGGACCCTCCTCCTCCTCCTCTTCTTCCTCCTTCTCTCTCTCTTTTTTTTTGTTTGCCGTTTTTTTTTTTTTTTTTTTGTATCTAAAGGAGGCAGAATAAACCCACAATGAAGCTCAAGCCGAACCAGACCAGGACCTACGATGGCGAGGGCTTCAAGAAACGAGCAGCGTGTCTGTGCTTCAAGAATGAACGTGAGGAAGAGGTGAGAGATGATACGCAGTGTAACGTTGTAACGCGTTATGGACCATATGGACTGGGTTTGTGTGTGACTTTGTGGCCTAGTCATCTCTTATCTGCACCCAGTCATTCAAACAACACAGCGGTGGTTGTGAGTTTAAAAACAAAATCACGTTAAATGTTTGGTTTTTTTTTTTTTCATTTTTTTTTTATTCATGGCGGCTCCTGTTAGGTGTAGCTATGGTCTCTGCTGTGTTTCTCTCAGTGACACTGTTTTGGTTTGTGTTTCCGTGCTGTTGCTGCCGCCGCTGATGCGCCTTGGGCCATCCAGTTTAGGCTAGTTTGAGGAGCACGTAGAGAAAGGGGAGGAAAAAAAAAAAAAAGAAAAGAGGCTGTTGCTAAGGTAGCTTCAGTTAGCAACACACTACCAACGTTCGCGAGTTTCAGAATAAAACACCTGACTAACAAACTCCCGTTCGAAACTGCTTGGAGTTAAAGGGGAAGCTCTTTATTTTGAAGGCAAATTAACTCTACTTCCTGTTAGCTTCTCGCCAGCTTGGAGTCGCTCTCGCCGAGGGGGCGAGGCGCTCTGCTGCACGTTTCCTTTTTAATAGCGAGTTTAACGTCGGCGAGTGAGGAGATGAGAATACAGGCCACAGGTCTATAATTACAGAAATCTATCAAATGTCACGTCGCCACATTTAATACCACGACAGGGCAAGCATCCATGACCGGGCAGTGGCCATTCATGATTGTGCTGCATCCCGCCGGCCTTCAGCGGCGCAGCTGCGTAGCGACTATGTGGATGAGGATTTAAAGGGACCTGTACCATGTAAATAATGGATATGGGGTGACTGACTTATTGTTGTTGTGTCTTACAGACTTTTCTCGGTGATATACAATACAGTAGATCCACTCTAAAGGGGATTCATGTAGAAGGGAGCAGTGTTGAATTGTGTAAGTGTAATAATACATGTCATATTCCCAGGGTATTTAGGTTATTATAAGAGATAATATAACATTTTTGTGGTTGGTTTTTATTTCGTATGTTTTGGGTAACACAGTTACAGATGTTTTTTTTTTTTTTTTTAGTTTTACATGCAACAAACAAAAAACAAAAACAAAAATTAATGAAAAAAAAAAGGGTTTGTCAAAATGTGTCTGAAAACTTTAACAAATGGATACACAAAAACATTTCTGTCACAGTCAGACAGGACAGACAGATCTTATACTTACTATCTACTATCCAGAGAGCCTTTATTAGCATACATGAGGCATTAGGCCAGTGCTTGATCAAATGACACTCTCCATGTACAGAAAACCAACTTCTTTGGCTTATTTCATAGCTTAGTATGTGATTGATTGATTATAGCCAAGGTTAAACCCTATTATATTAAGTGCTTACATATATTCATGCGTGGGAAGTTACTGGTTCCCTTTGTGGGGCTAATAATAATATCCATTCATCCATAATCCTATATTTATGTCTAAACATCAGGACAACATCTCTGTTATTGTGGGATATTCTGGCATGTCTAAATTGAGCTTATTTGGGCTTGGCATAAACAAACTGTTACACAATATACTGTAAAAGCAGCCCAGTCTGGTGTCACTAGACTGGCACAGAGAGGTCTGCCTGAGCCCTCCAGTGTTTGGCTGTACAAAACACAGATCTGAAGATTGATACACACACACACACACGCACACACTGCTCACTTACCCATGAGCAGATGTTATGTCATCATTATGTCTGAGTTTTGGTGACAAAAATGGTGACATAAAATCAGAGCATTTTGTATTTTATGTTATAAGACATGGTGTCTGCACTACTTTGCCCTTGCGTAATGTTTCTCAGAACTTCTTTGTACACTGTGATTATTTTCTTATACTTTGTAGTTCCACAAAAGGACAGTCAGAGGATATTGTGACAACAGAAGTGTGTAGGTGTGATCATCGCCCTCAAGATTTTCAGGCTTTGACAGGCGTGTCTGCTCATGCAACCACAGAGATGACACTGCTTGAAGTAGGAGAACCAATCTGGTGCTCTGATCGTGATTGTGCACGCTGACAATGGCAGTTTTCTGTCTAAAGAAGCTTGAGATATGTGGCTTTGTGTTATCGATACTTATTTTAAACACATGGTTACACACACACACACACACACACACACACACACACACACACACACACACACACACAGTCAGTCAGTTCCTAGACATAGGAGATCGAACTGTGGTGAAATAAGAGCCATACATGCTGCTGGACTGTTTTGTTTTGGAGAGGAAAGGAGAAAGCTGAGCCCTTGGGGCGAGGTACTCTGACAGCAATTAAACTCCCAACTGAGGAAAACGTGAACCTGACAGAGCAGAGGGACGGCAGCGATAGCTGAATAGGGCGCCTTTAGTTTAACAGCATATGAGCTGCTTGGGGCCTGTGTGCCAAGAGAGCTTCTTTAATTATTTTACATCATAATAGTGCAGTAATAAGTTGTTGGAACCCTAATAAAGTAAGTAGTTTATATCTGAAAGAATACATAATTAAGTCTCATTCATTTATTTAATTCTAATTGAAACAAGTAGATGAACTTCTGAAGTTATTCTAATTGGATATTGGGAAGTGTGCAGAGAAAGCCTCACACACTGTGTGTGTGTGTGCGTGTGTGTGTGTGTGTGTGTGTGTGTGTGTGTGTGTGTGTGTGTGTGTGTAGCTGAGCAAAGTTTTTGTGAAATGGTTTCATCACAACTTTCTCACCTGGTTGCTGCGCAGAAGCATCTAAATGTAGTCGAAAGTAAAGCTTTAAAGCTGCTGTAGTCAATATTTTTATATTAACAATACATTAAATGAGTGTATAATGTGAAATGGACTGCTCTTAATGACTTACCTACAGAGAATTATTCCCTTTCTCTGTAGTTCCTCGCAGCAACAGCAGGCAGCTGTTTTTTCAATGAAAACAACTCGAAGTGTACGCTACCTGCCCAGCACCAAACACTAGACAGATAAAGTTGGCAACTAGCTGGTGGACATAGTAAAGCATTTAGCAGCTAAAGAGGCAGATATTGGAGATCAAAACAGAGCTAAAAGGAGGGTGAATATTGGATTCTCACTCACCAGGATGCCAGAAACATAACTCCATATGAAAACTAATGTCACCTCATATCTTCTGGATGTGTAAACAGGCAACCTTTTGCTAACATGTCTGCCCAATCAACCTTAAATGGTGATAATATGTCAATGTTGTGTTCACAGCTTGTTCACACTTCCCTCAAGTGTCAGAGTCCTTTTTTAAGTTAGCTGTAGTCGATCTTTATTACTAAATCCAACCTCTTAATAGCACCATTAAAATCTTAAGGATTTAGAAGCAACCCAATGCGTAACATACTGCATCTGTGTTGAGGCTTTATTAAAGTAACCTTTATATAATGCTGCAGATGCATGCGTTATTCAGAGTGAGATTGGGATAACACCTCCAGCAGTAACCTCCGTCTTTATCAGTGTGTACACAGATGCTACACTTTGAAGGTACTGCAGCAGATTGTAAATAATGTCATACTCGAAATGGGAGGGGAGGTTATCAGTGTGAGTGGATGCCTCATCATAAAGTCAGAAACGTAGGCGTTCAGTCTCTCTGTCTTTGTCTCTCCTGCTGTTTGTCTCCGGCGTTGCCTGTTTACGACTCCTCTCTTATTTGTTGATACCTGTATAATGCAGCGACTATATTACCGTCTTAGCACTATTGATTCCTCCCCCTGCACTTGTGTACTCGAGTGTCTTAGACTTTCCATCATTCTCTCCTCCCAGCTCCCCGGCCTGACCTGGCATTTGGAGCCTTCTTTATTTGACAGCTACAGGCGTTCCTCCTCGGGGAGGAGGAGGAGGTGTTTATGTCCTCCAGAATATCCCTGCCTCCTGTCCCTGTCTGAGGCCATGCCAGAGGACTTGCTGTCATAAGCCACGTTTCCACCGCAGGAACTTTCCTTGTGCCTACCGATCATAGTTCTGATATTTCAAATTGAGTGAAGAATGACTGATAATCTTTTCTAAATCAGTGACAACAAGACAGACATTTGCATTTATTGCATGTCCATGTTGGTTATCCAGGAGTTAAAGCTTGTTTTTGTGTAACGTTGCACTGTAAGATTAACTTTTGGAATACGAGAAAGGGTGAGTCTTAACATTCGCCCGTGGTGTTTTCCATTACCCGGATAAGATTTATTGTATGTCGCCTCCGAATCTGCCCACCACCTTTCACACTGGGGGCCCCTGGGTAGTGGTGTGAGTTGCAAAACAGTAAAATGTCACCGGGAAACACTGAAGTGTTCCTCTGGGGTTTCTCCTTAACCCTGCCCCCTCTCTCCAAATATAAAGTGGGTTTCTGTGTGCTCAGAGCTCAGCTGTCAGGTGACCTATCTATCGTGACTGTGTGAGTTATTTTGTTTAGTTTTTTTTCATCATGCTTTATGTAGCGTATGTTATGGTATGGTTTAAGTTTGAGGCAATGTTACCTGTTTTTCTTTTTTAAAACTTAGAGGAATGTTCAGAAAGAATAAAGTTTTGGTTATAGATCATGTGTTATTCCCAACCAGTGAGACTTTTACTCCTGGGGTACTTATACTTGCCAAGGGGAACTTGGAAAGATTTGTAGAGAAGCTCAACTAATTTGACAAAATGAAGACTATCATTTAATTAAAAAAGCATAAATATATATATATATATATATATATATATATATATATATATATTTATATATATATATAGCACAAATTAAGTTAGCTGTACACTGCAGTTGGGAGTGCTTAGAAAGTAGTTTGTAACTGAGCACATGACTCTGAATAGTTAACTAAAAGTATGAATGGTTGAGGTAGATAATAGAAACAGTTCAAATAGATAAATGTAATGAATAAATTGTTGATAGGTAAAAGTATTGGATAAATGGTGAAAACGCTACAGGCATCAGATGGTAGAGCAGTAATGGATGTTGAAATAGAAAGCTAAAAGCTTCGTTGTATGAAGAAATGTCCACTTTTATAAAAATGTAATAGCGTTAAATGAAATTTGGTTTAAAATCAGTTCAAAAGAACACATTTGGAGCATTAAGGGTGGTGTTGAAAGGATACTTCAGTTCATGTGACTGGGCTGTTAGGTACGGATCTCTGACCACTTAATGAACTTCAAATACTTGCATTTCAGTGAATTGACTTGTCCAAGTGACTTGGTGCTCAGAGAGGTCGAAAGGAAAGCTTGCAGGGTTGATTTTGTTGTGATGGCAAACTGACGTCTCCTTTTTTCAAAGTTTAAAAGGCAACACCAAACCCCCGCTGCTCCCTCTCATGAACGGGTAGCTGCATTCATCTCAGAAGCACACGTGAAGAAACAAATTCTTAATTACACACAGTTTGTAATATGTCGATTGAGTGCTCTACATTCCTAAATTCATTAAAACCAAACTAAATGCAGCCCGCGCTGTATTCTGACGACGGACAGATAAGAATTCCTGGGGGGCAGCAACCACAAGATAAAAATGGAACAACCAAAGCAGAAATTTGCTTTGTCCCCGCTGCCCCGGAAGCTCCACGGCTTTTGTTTTGTATACATCTCACACTCGGCTTAGGATGAGTTGACACCAGTGATCTCCCTGTAAGCCCCGCTGGCTGCAGCTCAGCACGCAGACACACACAGTCAGTGTGCTCCGAAATCTCCAACATCCAAAAGATAAAGACTGAATGATATTTTGTTTTTTATTACATCATGAAATGGCGCATCCTGCACAGAAGTACATGACACAATAACAGCCCATAAGAAAACAGACTGCTGGCAGGTGACATTCATGTTCAAAAGGAGTACAAATAAATCATTGCTGCATATGAAACATCTCACACGTCTTCTAAATCTTTCAAACATCTTTTTTCTTAGTTTTCACAGATTGTGATTTAAAGGACAAAACGTTCACATTCAGTTTGTTTTAGCTCACCTCATTGGCAAAGGCCAGCCTGCACATCAAAGGGCTCACTCAAACAGGTTACAAGGTTCAACTTTGCACATTTATTTTACAGTTTGCACTCTACCGAGAAGACGTCATGTTCTGCACCAGCACCATAAATACTATTAGTGTAAATGCCCCCTTTCCTTTAACACACGTCACTTACTGTACTTACTGTAAAACATGCACCTGTTGCATTCAATAAACACCTGTTATGTTTTTCTTGAACCTTTTCATTACCGGAAAATGTTTACTAAGCATGCTCACACTTAATCCACATCATCATGCTCGACATTCTTACTGTATAGCTGCACACTTGAGGGCCCCCCCTCCCCCCCCCCCCCTTCCTCCACCTCCCGCCCTTCATCCTGTAACCTACATCGTGTGGGAATAAGCAGGTGGCCGAGTTGGGTGAATGGCACGTGAGGGAGACGGCAGCCGACAGCGCTCACTGGTCAAGGCCCCAAGCATGTGGCGTCCAATCGGTTTGGCCGTCGGCCTCGGCTCCTTAGGAGATCCTGAGAAGTTCTCTGTTGGATGCAGCCACAATCCCATTAGGGAACGTAAGGGAAGCTATACGAAAGCTGAGTTAGGATTAAATGACAGACTGACTCCTCTGGCAGATTACTGGATATGGTGATGAGATGGGTGGCAGAGGTGGATGTTGCCATATGTTGCACAAGCTGCTTAACACACATTTCTCTCTTTAATGCACGTATAGTAAGATTCACTGATCGTTGTATATTGTAAAATAATTTCGGAGCTGACAAAGAACTGACAGTCACACGCTGTGAGATTCAAAACAAACCAATGACAAGACTGCACTTGAATCCTCTTTAATTAGCTTTTCTTATACTGCCTGATGATATCACTGCAACCTGTGTCCTGTCACACAGACCGTGTTTTAACAGTGATTGAATTTCTTCATGCAAATGTGATAATGTTTATAGCAGGTGTGCATGTGTCTGTTGTGGTTGCTATATGGATACTGGAAGAAACTGCAGACACAGGCACATCTGATCCGTGCATATCGCTGTACACTGCAACTGTAGTGTAATTCAAGCCCTGCAGGCCACTCAGGGGGAGTAATGACAGAATTTGAGTGGCTTATGCTTGGTTTACATGCATTGTTTGCCGGGGTCATGTTGTGCTGGAACCGTTTCAACACTGGCTTTGATTGAGATTCATCGCCGGGCTGGAAAAATCCCAAAAATGTTATTTGCGAAGGAGACTGATAATCGAAACCTCAGAGAAAGGACAAACTAAAAATAGTTGGAGAGAAATATATTCGATGCACGCTAAGATACCCTAAAACATATGAATAAATAATTAGATTCAGCTAACGCCGTTTTTGAATGTGGATCATTATATTTTTCGATATATTCCATTAATTCCATGTATTTCTTTCACTCAGAAGACCATTTACACAAAATATCACGTTTTATTGAAATATTTAAAGCAGAGGTGGATCTCCTGTAAGCAACAACGGAGAATAAATAGCAGAGGCAGCACCAATCATCAGCCGTCACTCCTTGAGACCTGAGTCAAAAAGGGGTCAAGGGTCATATCTCATGTTAAATCCTCAGTTTCAATGTGACGTCAAGTCAAGGCCACTGAATAGAGCAAGGAAGTCACTGAGGCAAATATAAATGTACTAATGTTCCCATTAAATGTAGCTCTGAATTGAGACATTTTACAGTTCATAATGTGTCCTTTCTTTTCTTTTACAGGTTCTGCTGGTCAGCAGCAGTCGGCACCCAGACCAGTGGATCGTTCCCGGAGGCGGGATGGAGCCAGAAGAGGAGCCGTGTGGTGCAGCAGTGCGGGAGGTGTTTGAGGAGGTGAATAAACCTTTTATAATACTATTTTTTTTTTTTTTTTTTTTTTTGATACCACGTGAACTGGGTCTCAACTGCAAAGCGAGGTCATTGTGTGAGGTCATAAAATGAGCGCACAACAAGAATGAACGTGGTCATATACATAGGTGGTTAAACGCAGCCGTTTCCAACCAAAAAAAATAGCCTCATATTTTATTTTGACAGTGTTGACCTACATCCAGAGACCACCTGTCTGTTATGTAACAGGCATTCAAAGCACCTTGTAAAAATGTGCTCTTTTTAAATGTCTTCCTGTTATAGCTGCTGTCGTCCTCTGTCGCTGCAGTTGTCTCTGTTCCAGCTGCAGGATTTTCCAAATAATTCTCATATTTTATTTTTTTTTTTACCAAAAAACCTAATACAGCTGTGATATTTTGGATAGGAAAATGGTCTTTCCATTCATTATTATAAGCGATCCTGCAAAATGCATTGGGGTTACGCGACTCTCCCACATCATTATCCATTTCCAGTCAGTGCTAGAATGACCAGAACCAGGGTTGCGTGGTTTCGAACAGTTGGCCGCAGCACGCATACTAAGGGTGAGATTCTCGAAGGGCCACGGTGTCAGTAGCTGAATGACTGAGGTGTCCGCTGGTATTTCAGAGGTCCCCCTGCTTAAGAACCTTGTGTTCTCAGCCACGTCAGCGGTCTAAACTTGGCTTCTCGTTGGATTCTTGTGCATTCACAGACACATCAGGAGGACACAGTGACACTTGTGAAGTATGCTGAGCAGGGCACTGGAGAAGGGGACAGATGTCATATGTCTTGACAGTAATTTGATTCCTGTGAAGTGCATCTGAATTAATGAAGCAACTGTTAAGTGTTATGAAAGGGACATAATTACATTTCCGTAATGATACTCTTTCAGGATTTGCGCCAGGTTTGTTATAAATAAATGACATATGCCAACCAGTCATAAAAAAACCTACACTGTTCTGTATAGAAATCATTACATCTTGGAGAGAAACAACCATTGTAGACAGTTTCTACAAAAATTGAAGAAGCTGGGTGGCCACATAGGATAAAAATAAAACTGTCTGGGTGCAGGGATTTATTCTGCAGTTTAATTCAGAGTGTTTTTGTGTTTGGGCAATTGTCTGTCAAGCATTTCTATATCCACACAAAGCCTGGGAGGTTACAGTAGAGTTCAGCGCATAGAGGCGGACCTGCAGAAGTTCTTTAAAACACTGAAATGTAATACACAATGCCCATTGTTTCGACACAGAATATGCACTGCTTTTCACCCTCTATTCGTATTTGTGACGGATTGTGCTGTAAGGCCACAGCTACTCAAAACTTTTTAAAATCATACAAAGAAGTGTCCTCTGCTGTCTGAATGTTCTGTAAACTAGGGAAAAAAAAAACTTTTTCTGATGTTTTTCTTTCTTTATTTTTTCCTCAGGCTGGCGTGAAGGGCAAACTAGGACGTTTGCTCGGTGTATTTGAGGTAAGATTTAATCTTTGAATGCATCAAAATAATTGAGATCTTTTAAGCAATACATCCACAAAACACAACAGAGACAGACATTGGAGAGCTAACACATAAAATTGCTACAAATGCAACATTTAGTTTTTTCAGAGCAGATTTGAAGACCATCTTGTCACTCTTCTTATTGCATTCCCGTATACTTCTGGTTTTGTTTTATCATGAAATATTTAGCCTCCTCTCCTTCTGATCCCTAAAGCAAAACCAAGATCGGAAGCACAGGACGTACGTGTATGTGTTGACTGTCACAGAAACGCTGGAGGCTTGGGAAGACTCCGTCAACATAGGTACAGTCCCCCTCCCCCCCGATGCAGACATCTTTTTATTTATGTGAAGGCCGGTGCATGGGGACTATGTGGGCAGAGGGGAATGCAGTGACAACAGGTGCCTATAAATCTAGGCCACTGATCTTAGCTACAGTGGTTCTTGGCTGCAGTATATTACAGCTGTCGGCAGCCTGGACACCAGTACTTTGTTATGTGCTCAGTGGAGAGCATCCTCAACCTGTTACTACGCCTGCCACATTCACCATTTTCTTATTTTGAAATCTGAAAGACGTAACAGCACATGCTATTTTGTATTCATACAGTATAAACAAAATGGATTAAGTGTGTATGCACTCTAATTGCACTAAACAAGGAAGACCCAATATGAAAGCCTCCTTTTAACTCATACATTGTGCTCTGTCTCCCTCTGCAGGCCGTAAGCGGGAGTGGTTCACCGTCGACGAGGCCATCAAAGTGCTGCAGAGCCACAAACCCGTCCACGCCGAGTACCTGAGGAGGCTCCAGCTCAGCTGCTCCCCAACCAACGGAAACTCCATCCTCCCGAGCCCCCCGCCGAACGACAACTACCCCCATTACAGCGCCACCGCCACCACTCCCTCGACGGGCAGCGTGTTGGGCACCTCCTGCAGATAGGACTGCACCAAAACCTCGTGTCCTGTCCAGCTCGGGCACTTCACTGAAAGTCTGTACAGTCTTGCATGAATCTAACGACTTTTCAGAGTTACGGCTCTCCTGTATGTATAATTTCTAGTCTTAGCTGCAGGACAGACCAAAGCCATCGCCAGAACTGTGTTAAAGACTCGTGTGACAGAGCGGGAGAAGTCTCTGACAGAACAACTGTGGATATAGCTGTCTCAAGAACTCTTTTTCTTTTGCTGGCAAACACCAGACTGATGAGCTGAAGCTTGGGAAGGAGAAGCTGCAGTGGACTCTGCGTGCATTAATGACCTGGTGAAGGAATGCCTTACAGAAACTGTATGAATGTTGTATTTGGGTTGTTTTATTTCACTAAAGGCCATTTTTATTTTCTTTTTAGCAGAATGGATATGCTTTCTAGTCAATAAAAAGAGTAATTGACCCCAAAGCACGTCCATGTGGGGAATGTTTCCAGACTTAATAATGTTTTAGTCATCAACCCATGATGATAACAGCATATATCATATTCTACTACATGGATCATGGATTTAAAAAAAAAAAAAAGCCTGAGCATTCATATGTTGCATTTTAATATAAAGTGGGGATTTTTTTCACACAATGCAATCACTAATTAACATTTTTCTAAAGATTAAGTTATTGGCCTAAAGTGATGAAGCCACCTCCAACATCTCCTTTCTACAAAATTAAATTGGGGAAAATGTCATGATAGAAATGTCTCTCAGCCCAAAAAGACAGGGTCAAAGGTCAAAGACGTACTATCTCACAGGACTGTACCAGCTGTCAGAGAGTTGATATGAAACTAAAAACTGGATATGAGTCATGATGCTGTGTTTATAGTTAAACTTTAACCTCTGAGGTTTTACACACGTCCGCTAACCTTGACTGTTCCAACAAACCGGTCTGTTGTCCATTTAAAAGCCACATACCTTTCGTCAGTGTTTACTGTTTCCCATGTTGTCACAGTGAAAGTATTTAATGCTGTAAAAGTACATCTCTGCCTTAGGTATTGTGCTGCTAGGGTCAATTGAGTTTATTTCAACTCTGGTCATTTAAAAAGTGGATTTTTCTTCAAATCATTTGTGTATTTTACTTTAAATGAAAATGACTATCTCTAAATTAATGCTCAGCAGTTTTTATCATGACTCATGGTGCTGCAAGGCGATTGAAAACAAAACGACAACCAAATGACGTAATTTCCTTGTACTATATGATTGTTTCCTTAACCACCTGCAGGTGACTAAGATTACTTGAGCCTACGGCTGCAACTAACAACTACTTTCATCATAGTTGCATTTGCCAATTATTTGCTTGATTAATCAATTTATGATTTGGTCTATAAAATGTAGAAAAAGAGTTATCACAGTTTCTCTCCATCAATTAATCGTTGCAGCTCTACTCGTATCCCACTAAGTCTGGGGCAGATTTTACTGGTTCAAAAAATACAACAAAAATGCAGTTTTAATATACATTTTTATTATTTCTTTGGGGTTTTTTGGTTGCTGCCTAAACAAGCTCAATTTTGGGGTCATCATCGAGTCAGTGTCCGGGGCCCCTTCTTTCTCTCTCCATGTGTCCTATATGTATTATATACTGTCAGTTAAAGGCAAACACAACTACAACAACTACATTTTGAATATGGAGACAGAAGTCCAAAGAAAAATGGCTCAACTCAGCAGTTAAACTGTAAACATTTGATAACAATGTTTTGCTTATGTAAGCGTTCGCGCTGAAAAGAGACACCCACTCACTCCTGTGTTGACAGCTGAATGACGACTAGTAACCATACAGAGATTTGTAAATAGCTTTGAAGAGAAACATTGAACATGTGTTTTTAACCTGAATGAATCTGTAAAATTTCTCTTAATATTTTATATATTTTTTAACAATGTATAAATTGCAGGAAAAAAACTGTGTAGAAAACCCACTGAGAACAGTATGTACAGTGTATTTGTATCGATGACAATGTGCCACAGGTTTAGGATATGAAGGCTGGTTGGTTTGGGTCTTAGAATGAAATAGAGACGGTAAAATTACTGCATTTTAAAATCACAATTTGGTGAAATCAGTGTCTGTCCATTAGGAATGAAGATGATCAGTGAGACGGCACGGAATAAGGCCTGGATAGATTTAATTTTAGAGATGTTGGGAAAACTAAACACAGTTTTTACAAAATATATATATACATAGCATCTTGCTGATCAACTTGTGTGCATCAGATACTCAAGACTGAGTATTAATATAGACATAAATGATGAAATTGGGTTTTTATAACATTTTTTGGGTGGGATATGTAGTTTTAGAAAATAAAGCCAGGGCAGTAATTATCAGAGAAATGTTTTGGAGGCTTAGGTAAAACTGAAAAGTTGAATTGGTCATACACTTTCACTTTCACAGACAAATATTAATTGTCTCGTTTATTTCCCATGTGACCCAGACTTATCTTTCAAAACTCATTTCAACTGCTCCATTGCAGTGTTTTATCTGCAGTATCATAAACTCTGATACACCAATTCAGCCCTCATAAACTTTCAGCCTAGTGTGGCGTAAATAAGGACTCCAACCACCTCAAACCTCTGTGTGTGTGTGTGTGTGTGTGTGTACGTGTGTGTGTATGTGTGTATGTGTGTATGTGTGTGTACGTGTGTACGTGTGTATTGTTGGTTGATGAACGTGAAATATGATGTGCCAAACTGAAAAAAAATTTTGGTGTTCAGGTGGGAAAAAAGTTTTTATGTCACATTAAATTATACAGATTTCTAGGCCAAAATTATAATAACCTTAAACATTGTTATGATTCACTTAATTAATGTAATTTCAGAATATAACTATTATAATGTGAACAAGTGTGTTTTAAGAGCTGCATCCTTCAATGTTGAAATAATGATTAATGAACCACATGCACTTATTCTTTTTACCCCATACTGTTTTTAAAATCCACTTGCCATGTGACATAAAGTTAACTCAAACCCATTAATCATGAAGTTATGTGGCTCAGTGTCCCCCTGAAACACCTTCTGTCTCCAACTGTTGGACCCTGTGTTTGATGCTTGGGTCTATGTTGAACTGTGAATGCTGCTTGTATGGAGTAAAGCATGACAGTGCGGATACGAATCCAACAAATGAAATGTATGCGCTCAAGTACAAAAAAAAATGTAAGACACTAAAGGACCGGTGTCGTGTGTGTTTGGTGGATTTTGGACAGCTTGATTGTTTGCTGAACACATTGTAATGTCACATGGGTGTATACGGAGAATTTTACTCAAATCAACTGAAATATTTGTCACCATTTTGTCATGAATATTATGCACAAAAAAGTTTCATGTGAACGTGATTTGAAGACCTGGACTGGAAAGATTGTTTCTGAGAAAAAGATTGCATTAAAGGGGGAAAAATCTTATTGCAACTGTGGTTGAATTTTCATTTATTTGAATCGACTGTGTACAATGTCATTCTCTCTCTTTTTTTTTTGTACAAGGAATCACTGTTTTGCAAATGATTCAGTGGTTTTGATTCTTGGAAGTTTAATGGATGAGAGGCCCCAGCAGCTGATTATCAAAAAGGATTATTGTATTAATAGCATGACTAGATAAACCTGCTATAGTAAAACCCACCAGGGTAAAAATATGTTCAACTTTCCACCCCCACCTCCCATTTTCAGGAAGGATTAACATCTGTAATGTTACACGTTTAAGTGGAGGACATTTTTGGGTGAGTCAGTTCGCACAGGATCAGATGACAGAGGCTGTAAAACTACATTTTGACTCTGGGACCAGATTTCCATCACTGATTTCCTCAAGCTAAAAATGCATTTGATCCACAACCAAAAGCATGTGAGCCTTCAGGACCGCTTTATGTAGCGAGCCAGCTTTGTTCGGAAGTCACATAATTGGACATATTATAAAATCTTAACAATAGAACAATAGAAGTTAGGTCTTTGTTCTTATCTGGGAGGGGAGAAAAAAACAGGCCAAGCAGCTAGTGTCCTGCAGCAAAGTGTCAACATCACAAAGAGCCGAATATGGAGGCCACAGACTATCATAAATGTCCGGTAGGTATAGTTATAAAAGTTGGTCTAATTGAACTTTGACAGTGGCTCCTTTCCCTAGGAAAACACACCTGGTGGGAGCCGCCTCCTGTGTCTGGCAGCAGTTTGCCCTTACAGCTCAAGCCAAAGAGGGAGGGGCAATGGTCCAGTGTGCAAAAGTCATCATGCACGCAACTATTACTGACTCATCAGCTGGCGAGCAGTAGCCTCAACCTGTTGTGTTTAAATTTAGGCAATTTCATTTGTAAACATTTGAAGAATTGGCCCATATTTCCTCTAGTTACCAAGGAAATTTGGCAAATTTGGTGTGTTTGTGATAAATCTGGAAGAGATATTCAGATTGTAATGCCACAGTTTAATAATACTCTATTACAAGTAAAAGTCCTGCTTCAGTAAATGTACAAAAGTTGTATCAGCAAAATGTAATTAAAATGTAAAAGTACTTATTGTGCAGCAGAATGCCCCCTTAAGAGTTATATTATTGTAAAATATGTTACTTAAATAATAATACCCAGCATTTTATTGTTGTACTTGGCCAATGTGGAGCTAATTTTAAAGGGATAATGTGACATTTTAGCTCTCACATCCATCAGCAATAGCTAATTAGCTTAGTGTAAAGACTTAAGTTAGGAGGAAACAGCTGACCTGAACAAAACTGACCTACCAGCACATCTAAAGCTCATCATTAACACGTTATATCGATTAATCAAGCAAACGATTGGATTACAATTACACCTGCTCAGAGGTGAAACTGAATTTTATTGTTATTTTATTGTTTGTCCTCTTTTCTTCTACAGATTATTAAACAAATAAGATATAATGTGATGACTGCTGTTTTGTTGCTGGTACAGATAACTAGTGTTTCCCCTGGTTCCCTTTGTGCTAAGCTAATTGATTTAACCAAGTTGGTAGTAGTCAACTGAGGAGTTTCAATCTTCCTATCCAAGCTAGCTGACATAACTCTTCACCAGAAAGCAAATAAGTGCAATTCCCAACATGTTGAACTATTCTTTAAACTACTTTGTGGAGGTTTTATACATTTTTAATAACTATATGTTCAACTCTTTCATACCTGTGTGAAACAGCTACACCTGTTACATACAAACTAGTGGTGAAATATATATAATATCCTATAATATTTCTCTTAAAAAGAAGAGAGCACAATTTAATAATAGTGAAAAGTCACGTTAACAGATACCGCCCCAGCAACGTCACCTGACACCTCAGGTGCGTCGCCTGTAGCCCCGCCCTCCCCCAGTGTCAGGACCCGTGTGGCACAACAAAGCAGGGCTGAAACATCAACCCGGGGAGCGCTACCTGTGTACTTAATTAAAGTAGACCCCCCTTTTTTTTGTTTTAGCGGATCTGTTCACCATGGAAGAGGGGCTGTTCTTTAAATCAGCGCTACCTGTGCAGGACTCCTTCGTGCTGGATGACTCGAGTCTGGCTCTGCCGGCCGAGCCGACTCCGATGTCCTCGACGAAAGTGAATTCAAGCGACCGGAGTCTGCGCGTTCAGCAGCAGGTTCAGCTCACACTGGCACGGAAGGCAAGGAAGCCTGTGTCAAATGGTAATGTTCAGTTTGAAGCTGTCTTCAGTGATCATTGTTGATGTATGGATTGGATGTCAGATATTATTACAGACTGCATAAAGCTACACTGTTTGATTGGTTTGTGGTAAATAAAGCAGTGGCTGCTTGTGAGCCATTTGTAACTGGTTTAATATGTTCATGACTTGTGAGCAGATTTTATCCCACAATCCTCTCTGATTGTTTCATTTTAACTCTGATTGAAGAAAAAAAAAAGGCAAAGATTAGTCAGAAGAAAGAATAAAATTAAGCAGCAGAGCAACATTTTTCTTATGTCTTGGCCCATAACTCACTCTTGTGAGGTCCAACCAAACCCTATAAGTGGGCTTCTGTATTCAGAGGATGTGCTCTGTGTACTGTAGGTCTACTATCATCTAGACTAAATACAGGAATTTTGTCGCCTCTGGAATGCGTGCAGTGTAGTAGTTTGCTTGTCCAACAGGTTTCAGCAGTTTCATTTATCTCTCTAAAGGGAGATGGTAGTGACAGCAGACAGCTTGAATTTAATATCTCACCCACTTGCTTCCCTTGGGGGTTATGCCTTTATTTATTATACATTGGGTAACCTAAATAAAGATATGGGTGAGTCAGATATGAACTCCAGTGAGTCATCAACCAAATATAATACTATATTTTTAGGACAGCATTGATTTAGTTTCCTAGAAGATCAGTTTGTCGCTACGTCTTAATGGACTTGCTATATATATTTATACAAGATGATTTACCAGTGTAGGAAGTAAATTTTTTGGCAATGACTAGACTATTTTCAAAGAGAATGCTTTCATGCTCACCCACCTGAGACCAACTAACCGGAGATATGAAAAGTCTTATTAACTTAGGATAATGAATCAGACATTTTTCCGCCACTTTCATATTAATATGGCTGCAACTAACGGTTATTTTCATTATTAGTTCATCTGCAGCTTATTTTTTCAATAAAAGTATTGATCATTTAGTTTTAAAAAAAGTCAGAAAATGGATTGTGATTGTGATTGTCTTGAAATGTGTCAAAAACCTGAAAATATTAAGTTAGCTATTGTATTTGACAAAGGACAGTCTCCCCTTTGAGCCGATTGAAAGGATGAATTGATTATCAAATTAATAAATCTAATCCCAAAGTCAAAAAGTAAGTTGACTGACTAATCAATAAATGGTTTTAGCTCTAGATAACGATGTGTTACTCTTATTTCAAGTTACCTATTGTGGTCCTTTTTGTTATGTGGTATCCTGTAACACTCTCTCACCACACACACACACACACACACACACACACACACTGCTAACACAATGTTCAGATATGCCTTTGGGTATATATGCTTCACACTGTACACAGTAGGCTGATAAACATAAATAATAGACACAGACAAGATTTAAAGTATCACTTTGATCTATTTTTCATCTCTTCTTTCCTGCTTCTCACCCTGCCTTCCAGTTGTCAGTCCCTCTTAATGCAAATGAACAGGACATTTGATTTGCACTGGTGTAGAGAGGCCGCTCGCAGCACTGCTCCCGAGCTGATGAAGTGTTAGCGTTGCCATGCGTTTAGGTAATTACGTTGTGAAACAGTAAACTCAAACAAAAAACCCTCTTCAACTTGTTTCAGGTAGTGTCTATTTACAGAAGAACACAGCGAAGAGCTTCGATGCAGCAGATGGACTGTTCCCAAACATGAAGGTACATTCCTCCCTCTGTTTATTTATTTATGCTTCACAAACAATTTAGTAAGATCTTCTTCATGTGTCACTAAAAGCTTTATCTGGTCATCTTTTCTTCGCTACAAACAGGTCTGATCAGCTTCTATTATTCCACCACCGATAGTAATCAAATGCAGTTCAATACTTTGCGTGGTTCCTCTCTTCAATTTTGCATCCGCTCATTCTAAAAGAACAACGTTGGGAATGTTGTGCACTATTATTTGAATGTAATCAAATGGTCTGCTGCTACTTTATGTTCAGAGGCTCCACACTTATCAAATGAATCATTGTGTCCTCCATTTAGTTTGACATTATAGATTATTATTGTGACTTTTTAACAGTTTTAGCTTAAGGTGTACGGAGTCCTTAAGCTGACAAAATAAAATGAATGAAGTTTTGATTTATTTTGTCAACTGATTTTTTTTTTTACTACTAATCTGTTGATACAATACTTTAAAACTTATTGTACACACAAACATACAATACATACAAACTTAATGTACTATTTTGTTTTTAGAAACAAAAACTGATTGGTGTTTAATGGAAAATATAAAAGCTTTATATTTCTTTTTTTCTGATCACTTTTTACTACATTTTGTCAATTTCGGGGCTCCATATATTTTATATATTATAAAAAAGTTAGAAACTACATTATAATCTTATTATATAATGCAATTTTATTTTTTATACAGCATAGTGTAGGACAAATGCATAATATCCCTCGGTACTGAAGTTAGTTTTGTGTACAGGTTATAAAGTAAGTTAGGGTTAGGGTAGGGTTAGTACAATAATACAACAACAATGAGTGGGCCTCAGTAGACTTTAATGCATTATATAACTCATATAAGTCATCATAATGACCTGTTGTCCAGTTAATTAGTTTGCAATACTGTGTTTTCCAGAGGAATCTGAAGTGAGAGTACCAGTAGAATAAACACAATATATCATAAGGGTTTTTATTTTCACAGGTAACTGGACTGAGCTACACTAACCGCTCTCTTTCAAGCAACCACGTACGGCGACCATCCAGGAGAGTGGAAGTGTCTCCACCACCGAGCCCAGAGGTTCCTCGCAAT